ATCATGCAGTACTTGAAGGGAGCCTACAAGAAAGCTGGAGAGGGACATTTTACAAGGGCTAAGGACTAGGGGTAATGGATTTAAACTGGAAGAGCATAAATTTAGATTAGATGTTAGGAAGAATTTTTTACTAAGGCATTGGAACAGGCTGTCCAGAGAAACTATGGATTTTCCATCCCTGGAAATGTTCAAGGCCAGTTTGGATGGGGCTTTGAAGAACCTGGTCTAGGGGAAGCTATCACTGCCCATTGCAGGGGGGTAAAACTAGATGATCTTTACAGTCCTGTTTAACCTGAACCATTCCATGAATCTATGATCTGTCCCAAAAGATCTGAATGTCCTTAGCTTTCCTACTTGCACTGAAGGGACCCTGCATGCTTTCTGAAATTAAGCTGTACATCTGAGCTTATTTAGCTGCCAAAAGGTTTCACCCTTCTTGTAGTTGGTCGTTTTTATTTTGGCATTTCCACTAGCCCAAATAATTAGTAAATTAGATGCTCTGTCTCCAGAGATAAAGATTTCACTCTGAAAAACAAAATGATACAATTACTGCATGGAGATTAGAGTCCTCTGCAGTGATGTCATTCACTTTGGCTTTGCACTGACATGATTGTGCTTGATCTCAGCTGACAGCTCAGGGCAAACTTCCACTAAGGTCAGGAGCTGTAAAGACTTCACTGTGTACCTATGTGGGAGCATCCAAACGTCAGAGACTCGTTCCTGTATCCTGACTCAGCTTCAGTTTCCTCCTCTAAATTTTGACTGAAGCAATGTTTGACTCCTTCACCCAGAGAGCAGGTACCATGGACTTCTCACCCAATATGGGAGAAGGGTAGAGCAGAGACAGCAAATGTTGCTCACCAACAAGTGAGGAGAACATGCAAGAAAATTCTTTCTGTTCCTTGTACCATTTTAAAGAAGTCACTTCTGAATTTTTTTTCATAAGACCTTACACAGGTTAAAACTAATACTGACTACAGTGTATATCTAGTTCTAACCCCTTCCCCTTTCCTGTTTTGAAAGCCTAGCTTTTACTTCCAGACAAAGTCCTTTCTTCTTGGCAAGGCCTCTGGAGAAACCTGCCTGCTCACAGAGTATTTAGGGGTTGACAACAGCAGTTTTTCAGATTTTTAAGGGTCAACATCATTTGAACTAGCTTAATCTCACGGGTCCATGAAGCCGGGTTAGAAATGCTGTCTAAACAAGTATTCCATCCACCTTGTCTTAGTCTTGGCTGAAATCCAGAGACAAGGAGAAAAGCAGATGGAGAGAAAAAGACACAGTTAATTAAAGGCCAGGTTCTGAGCATCTCTATGGCCTTCAGGTCATTACAGACATATCTAGGGAGTACACTCAATTTCATTGAAAGTTCCTTCTTCCTTTGCTGTCAGCATCTAAGTTTAGTTGGCCTTAGGCCCCTTAGAGCCTCATGAGCTTTCCCTTCACTTCATCAATGAGTGGTTTTCTAGGCATGGGTTAAAGAGCAGGCTGCTGCTTGCATTAGGAGAGTTACTCCGGAAACATCAATGTGCCAAACAGTCTGGAGGAACTGCCATGGTCTCAGGGACCATGTCTCCTGACAGTCCTCACCATCACACAGTCCCCACCATCCTAGTTCCTTCTAACATGGGCTGGAGTCTCTCTCCTCAGAGCCCCTTGGTAAGGTACACATCTATATCCAATCAGACAGCAGTATCTCAATGGGATGACAAAAAACTGCACCTGAAATGAAGCTCAGGAAACTCAAAACTCAGATAGTCCATGTGTCCCACTTTGCAGAAAAAGGTAAGGGTGAATGAGCAATAGTGAGAGACCCAGCATGCACAGGGAGCAGCATGGCTGATGGTAGCTTTCAATCAGACACTGTAAGGCAGATGGATTCCCTGGAGGAGAACAGGTTATGCCATGGTGGAATTGGCTGCAGAGCAGAGGCAGTGGAGGCAGGAGCAGGGGTTGAATGCATGTGGCACCATAAATGCAAGTGGTCCATGTGAAGGAGTTAGAAATGTGGGGAAAGGAGACCTGGGGTCATCCCTGAAGGAGGACAAAAGCAGTCTATTTAATTTCCCATATTCATACAGTTTCATTCATTTATTCAGTGCCTCCTCAGATGTGCTGAAACACTCCCCACACATTCTTGATGTAAATACACAACTGCAACAGGGAGGTGTCTCCTAAACCAGGGAAAGCTGGTGCTCCTAACACTACTTGTGATTTTAGACTGCCACTAAGCTGTGCGATTCTACTCATTTTCTGCAGAGGGAATTTGGTTATTTCCCTTCAGAGTAAACACAGCATTTGCCAGTTATTATAATACGTGAATTCCAGGATTCTCTGCATTTAATAGATTTTGTATAAATCTATCTGCAGGAAGCCAGGCTAAAGATTTGTTGCTGGATCAACCTGTCAATACTGAAGTGTCTAAAGAGACATTGTTCCTAAAAGTCCCCAAGCACAATAAAAGCCTTCCAGGGAGTGATTCAGCTGCTCACAAACAGTTATGTGGTGCCATCCCATACAACCAAGTAGGATTTGTAAAACAATCAGGTAAGACTAATAGAGAGGACACATCAGAGGGTTCTTTGATTTTCCACAACAGCAGCTGGAGGCCATGTCAAAGAGCACTAGATGCTTCATATAGCAGATAACTGAACTGTCAGTGTCTGTAGTGACTGGATTTTTGCATCTATAGGCTTTAATCTTCCAGCCCAAACCATGGTAGCTGCTTTAGAGTTGATCTAAGTCTCCAGCAACATTCAACTTGATTTCAGAGAGAGCTCTTAAGGACAGTGCCTAGCAGACTGCAGCCTTTTGTGGATCACAAAACTCTGAGAGCACTTTCAACATCTTTACATGGTATCTCATGACACAGACACTGCACCTTGTAAAGATAAAAATCTTGCAGCTCCTGGACTGATTTTTTTTGCAGATGTCTTTCCAGTACTAAACTTTATTCACTTAGAAAGTGCAAAGTGCAAGTCTAGCATCAACCACTTCACAATAGCTTTTGGCTCTTTACTTCCCTCTCCTCTGAATACCACTTAAAAGCAGTGTCTATAACATCAATATTTAACCACGAGGCTTATTCTTTCTCCCAAGGAAGGGGATTGCTGTACACATGGACTAAATCACAGTGCCCAGACAGCTGATGATAATGAAAGCATCATTCAAGATGAGACACTTGATTGCTACTCTAAAGTTTACCAGTAAAAGAAATGTGCAATCTCTTTTTTTTCATTGTATTTGAAATGAGTCCACTTGCTAAAATATTAGTCATCTGGATTTATATAGCCCATTTTTAGAGCTGTGTTAGCACCTGGCAATCCAGCCTGAGAAAGCATCAGGCTACCCCAGTCACAGACCCATTTGATTTCTTGTTCTTCTTTCTGCAATGTGTGACAGCCTTCTTTATTTCTGACATGATTTACTTCCCACTTGACAGGGGACAAACCCATGCACTCAGAGCAGCTGCCTGATGGAGAGGAAGCAGCCTGGCAGTGGTGCTCCCTTCCCAGTGCAGCTGGTCAGCAGGGCTGGTCCCTGTGCCAACACTCTGCCACACTGCATCCCCCTCAGGGCAACAGGGTACCCCAGGCACAAGAAAAAAGAGTGACAAAGTACTTTATTTTCTGGCTGTGACACAAAGACCAAGGTATTTTTCCATATTACTGACCATGACGTTTTCCTGAACATTGGAAGAGATTTTTCCTGCTCTAAAAACTATCCCTCTGCTTTCCCAGCTGTCTTTGTACTTCCTTTCCCAAGTGTTTCACTGTTGGTTTTTCTCTTCCTTTGCCTTAATTTTCTGCAGTGTAGCACAAGTACAAAGCATGCTCCTGGCAGAAAAGACACTGAAGAATCCTGCCTGTCCTCTGCCTGACTAAAAGCTATACAGAAGCTTTCTTCTGTGTCTTCTGCACATCTGGAGATGGTGCTGATAAAGACAAAGAGCCAGATGATGATACCTAATGATTTATTTTTCCTTGGGGGAAATGCTGAGGATACTGGATACACTTTGCAACACTGCTCCCAGGAGAGTTTATATAAGCAGGGAGAAGAATTAACAGGCAGCCTTATAGGGAGAGAGGAATTTATGAAAATGCATAAGCGTTAAGGAGATTTACTGGAATACCAAACACCCAGGACCCAGTCTGTGTCCCTGAACCCAGTGGAAGCATATAGAACTGGGAAGACACCATGGGGACAGATATCACTCTCCAGAAATTATCTGTATGTCAGAGATCACAGGAATACTGGTGTGGAAAGCAGCTGCAGAGCTAGCCAGCAGGAACTGAAGGCACCAAGTGTGCTGGGCATGGGGATGTATGGCTGGAAATAAGGAGGAGCTCAGATGCACTGGGTAAGGCTTGGAAGCACTGATTTGTATGAAGAGAAAGAGATGAGTCTTATCCTGTATGTGCATTAGTGGGAAAACTGCTCACTTGCCATTGACTCCTGACATGCCTCCTATTTTTGTAACAGTTGTAAGCAATTTAAAGCCAGTGAGCCTGACTCACTACTATGGTAAACTGTAGTGCTCCAGTGTCTTGACAACAGTCAAACATACTGAATGGTCTAGACAGAGTGTTTGGATTTTTGTCTGCTTATAAATTAATTTGCCTTGGAGCACTCAGACCTTTAAGCTGCACACCTGGCAAAAAGTGGGGTCATGCAACTCGAGGGGCAGCACAGCACTATGTCTCTGTAGGAAAGCATTTCCCAGGGCTAGGGGATTAGGGAACCATTTAAATCCAGAGAATCATATGTAACACAATGAAAGGAGGGAATTTCTCTGGCTTTCCTCCAAAAGCCAAGCATTATTCATTGATCAGAAAACAGATCTCCATCTCTATTGAGAGCATTTCTTCTTCCATTTGCTAAGTGGAAAATGACAAATGAGCTTGCTGTGCCCTTTCCCACATCCTTTCTCCTGTCTGTCCAGGTGTCCCCATGGCTTTGCCCTCCTTCAGCACACCACAAGTGTACCAGTGGCTACTTACTTGGCACCGCTAGCAACCTCGGGGGCGGTGGAGGTGGAGGAGGTGGTGGTAACAGTGGAGGTGGCCTGCACTGGCAAATTTCCTGGCAGCTCTCTGTAAATTTCTCTGCTACAGGCTTGGAGCATGACTTCTGGGGCTCACCCTGAGTGATCTGTGAAGAAACAAGTCATTGCATGAGCAGCAGAACAGTGAAAACTGACGAATGTGTTTTTTAGACTTGAGTACCTGAGTGGCACCTCAGATCTGCAGTGAGAACTGAGCTAAAGCTCCTAAGATGTACCTTCCCTACATGGTCCCCATTTTTAATATTTTTTCTTATTTAACACAATATCTTCAAGACCTCTTTTCCTCTGCCAAATTTGGTAGAGATTGGCCAGCTGGTTTCTGAGCTATTACGGGGTAAGGAGAAGGCAGGCAGTGGCAGACAATACGATTGCATAAGCCTTTTTTCCTTAGGAAAGCCATCTAGCAGCATGCATTATTCACAGGGTCATTGCTGCAAGCCAAAGAGAGCTAATAAAAATTACAAGACAGTTAGGGTCAGGATTATGTTCATTTTCCTTATGGCAGAACTGAAAGCCAGAGGACATCCCTCCTCTGCTTTGCCAGCCTCACTTGAAGTTCAGAGAGCATTTCACAGGGTGTTTCACTTCCTGCCAAGAGGAGAGGCTACCGCATTTTAACCATCTGTGGACCACAGCAATAACGTGGTTTAAATGGAAATGCCTCATTGTAGCCTCCTGTGAGATGCAGTGTTGGCTGATAATAAAAGTGAAGATGAGGCATTGCAGAACCCAAGCATAAGCATCACTTGGCCATAGGCAATGATTTAGCCAGTACTGGTATACAATATATTCAGTAGCTTGATCTAGTCACAACAAGGACTACTTATTAGCAGCATATTTTTCTTATCATAGTAGTAATTACATAACTAGGGATTCAAGGAATATTCAGTAAAATTCGGTAAAATATAATGATACAAAATGGAGTCAGTCCCCAGTGAAAAGGAAATTTGCTGAGCATCACAGAAGCTTCTGAGAGGTGTTAACTTCAGAGGTCTCTAAGCCAGCTCTTTTTGAATGACTTATACAGGATACAATTTCAAAGAGACAAAACAAAGTCTAAAAGTTTAATAAGCATGTTATCTAACAAGCACTTTGAATGTAAGTATTAGGAGACCACCTGGGACACGCTTGTGTCCTGCTGAAGCTAAGGACAGTTATGCTAGTATATTGTCTTGTACAGTTTGGTCTCAGGTGGGTTATTGTGCTAATAGTTTTGGCCTAAATCATCTTCTTTAATTAGCTTTTTTCCACAACATGCTGGTCATTACAAAGAAGATGTCTCATGCCATGCTTTCTGATCCGTTTTAGGCAGCTTCTTCTGCCTCTCTGGCGGGGTCACCCAGGGTTGTCTTCTCCCACTTTTCTCTCCTGCCCAAGTTTTTCTTCCTTCCCCTGCCATCTCTGGGCACACAGCCTGTCTCCTCTCCCCTTTCAACCCTGGCCCCAGCACAGCCAGCATGTCCCTTCCACTGCCCACAGCTGGGCACCAAGGGGGCTGCACTGCCCTGCAGGAAAGCTGTACACAGTCCTTTCATATATTTCTGGCCAAAAAGAGAGACGTGGCTAATTAAAACAACATCACTGCACAAAGGACGTGTTCACATGCGTAGGAGGTTTCTAAATGCAGAAAGACGCATTACTCTGGCCTCGGGGAAATGGAGGTAGGGCTTTGTTGATTAAATATTATAGGGAGAGAGGAAAGAATAGAAAAGGCTACGTGTAGCTAAGTTGGAAGGACGGCTCAGCACAGCATAAGGCAGAAGGCTCAGTTCTTTAAACAGCTTGTCTAAATCTATTACCAAACATAGGGAAAAACAAATTCAGCACAAGTGCTTTCCAACTTTCCCCTTCACCATCAGGTAACAGTAAGAGGATGGTTAAAGACCATCCCAGACAGCTTCCAGGAACTTACACAAACTCTCTGAACACTCTAATGACTCAAAGCGACTTGGCTGCATAATCCCTCATGACTAGTAATAAATCTGTCTGCTAAGAAGGTTTATTTGTTTTTAAAGTAAGTGATCCCAGGCAGCAGAATATCCTCCATGCTGCTTCAGCTCTTCCAACACTGCTCACATGAGGGGTTGGGGTTCCTGGCATGCTCCCAAGAAGAGCCCTGTGAGAGAAGCATCCTTCCCGTGCAGTGTGGGGCAGACCTGGGGAACCTCCTTGTTAACAGGAGTGACAAGATTCACTGTGCTGGCACAAGGAGGTAGGGCAACACCTCTCCACTGGTGTGAGCAGCTGGTTAGGAAGCTGCTATTAACTCCTAGCTACAGCTACTGTCCCCTGCCCAGGCCCGTGGTTCTGGGAGCTCACTGCAGTCTTGTAGGAGGCAGTGTGATGGGAGAGGATGGGCACAGGGAAGAGTAACATTGAGCAGACTTGGAGCCAGCTTCGTTTGCAGATCAGAAGCAGCTTTGCATGTGTAAGTCTGAAGACAGTGCTGGTATGGCAAAGCTACATTGACTTATTGTTCTAACGTAATATCAACCAGAACCAAAGGCTTTCTCAGTCTTTTTTTAGAGCTATTGACTGCTTTTAAATCCCTGGAGGCTCTCCTACCTTAGGCTGGTAATAGAGTGTCTTTAGAAAATAGTGGATAATTTTGTCAATTACTTTGCAGACAAGATTAACCCTGTCATGGCCAGCCACCTGCTGCTTCTGCTCCTCTCTACTTTAAAAATATTATTTTAGGAAAAAAAAAAAAGGAAAAAAAGGAAAAGAAGGAAAATTTGTTTAGTTTCTCAATACTTTAGCCTGAACCTCTATAAAAATTTCCTATGATCATTTTTAAATAGTTGGGAAAGAACTGACATTTAAAAGCATGAGCTTTATCACCTATTTGTTTCTCTTCTCCTGTCACTGGGTGAAATGTGTGGTTGTTAGAAGATAGAAGTAGGAACATAAATATTACCTTGACGTGTTTGTCTTAAAGGCTTAGTTTTAAAAACAAAGATATTTTAAGTTGGTTGAAATCTGCCAGGAAAAGGAAAGACCCAAATCGAGGTTGAGGGCCTCGGGGAGGAAAGAAATAGTCAAGGACTGCAGCAAGAGGACAGAACAGTAACAGTAATATAAAACAGCAGATAACAGTAGCAAGATAGAATCAGGGAAAAAAAGGAAGGCATTTGGCTCCTTTTCAAGGAAAAAAAATCCCGCTGTTTATTAGTCTTCTTACGGCAGAAATGAAGGCTACTACTTGTGTCTTCTAAAGGTAAGCAGAAAAAAACACAAGAAAATATGTTTTCGGGAACAACCATGCTCTGGCAGGAGATCATGAAATAATACCCCATTGTTTCTTTCTTACTGTCTGCAATCCAAGGTAAGCTGCCTTTACAGCATGTGGCAGGAAAAGAAAAGGATTTTGAAAGAGCCACACCTTTCTATGGCCAGGTCACCTAAATGAATCTGGCCTCAAACTTTACTGCTTATTTGTTCTGGCAGACTCTTCCATGGCCCCAGAAAGGCTTTGGAAGACCTTTGCAGGTAAGGTGTAACTGGAAACCCACCAGGCTGCCAGCCAGTTTGTGGCACAGAAGTTGCCTTGGCAAGGGATCACCTTTGGAGATGGATGCAAAGGCTTGCTCCCTAGCTCTTCCAGCCATTCCTCCAGGTGCTGGACATGCCATGAACACGTTTTCTTGCCTATCTGAAACTTGGTTGCTTGTTTGACATGAGGCTTTCTTAACACACTGAGCCGTTGGCCAGTCCAGACTTATGCTACCTGGACTTCAAGCTAAAGCATTTTTTTCCCTGCTCTGAAAAGACGTACAGTTGACTTTATGAATTTGTGCATTTGATGTGAACATGTTTTGCAGAAAGGACAAAAGTTTCAAAATACTTATGGAAATGAAAATGTGATCCACAAATGTCCAGGGAAGAACAAACAGAAAGTGGTAACTGGTGGCTTCCTTTTGCAGTCTCTCTCGAAGTTTGTGCCTGTGGAATACTTCTCTTTAGTCCAAGATTTCTTTTAGAAATAGTGATCCTAGTCCTGCTTTGCATACCGTGGAAGAATAAATCTGCTTGTGGTCAGAACTATTTAGTATTTCAGTAGAGTCCCATGGGGTTGCAGCAGTCCACAAGCGTGTTCTACTGAGTGGGATAGGAAAAGAGGATTAATACCTGGAGGATTAGTCCCTGGAGGGTGGCCTTCTTGTGACTTTTTTAATCAGGTAAAAGGAGGAAAGCTTTAACAGAAAAGTGCAGTTGACTGAAGGCACAGAGACCTCTAAAAGCCTGCTGATGTGGCAAGAGCTTTGTCTCTTGGAAGCAGTCTACAGAGATGAGATGAGATCTCAACACCGCTGCATAAATTCCAGGACAGTTCTGTGCAATTCACATTAGTTTATCCAGATCCATGTTTACAAAACCAGAAAAAATGTGTCCCTGCTATTTATCATGGCCCTTTCTGCTCTTTTTAAAATTATGTCAAAAGCCTCTGACAGAATCATCCCTTCCCTCTTGCCAGAGAACTACCACTGTCACAGGCTACCACGCTAATAAGAAAAGATTGTGGGTTTTGTTTTGGTTTTGTTTTTAATAAGATAAATGCTTCTCCTTTGATTGGCATCTGACTGATTCTCTTAAGTGTCTCAAGGCAGGGCCTAAGGAGGGAATGCCGAGGTGGGAGGGAAGGCTATGCCACACTAAGTCATTGTGGGGACAAATGAGTGAGGAGGGGCTGGGGGATGTGAGAAAACATGACTGCTGCTATAGATAGAACAGGGGCAGGGGAGCAACGATGCAACGTTACAGAATTAGTCAAGGAGAGAATGGCTTGTGAGACTGAAGATAAGAGCAAGGATTATGACTCAACATGGGGAAGGGAATCATGGGAGGGGTTCAACGAGGAAGGAGTTTCAGTCGCAGGAAGGATGGAAAGCTGGCATTCCAGGGAGCATTCTATACCTGCCCTCTCCATTGGAACCTGCTGATGGGAGCCCTGGATAAAGCCTAGTTTTGGAAAAACTGGAAAAAAGCTTAAATATGAGCAGGCTTATTGTTTGTTCTTCCACAGAACAGCAAGCAATAGCACAAATACAGTTGATGAATGGGACATTCATCCAAATTCCAAATTATTGCAAGGAAAGGCTAGCGGGCTGCTTGTCTTTTGTACTTCTCAGAGCCTGTTTCAATTTTTATAAATGTAATTGTTTTTGAAATATTGTTTTAGATCATGTGAGTAGTTTGCCAGAAAGATGTTTATCCAAGGTTTTTTTTTTTCTCTGCTCAATTGACTGATACGAGAGAGGTTGCAGGAGGCATCTCTTTTCACCCAACTGTGCTTCCCTGAAAAATTCAGTTATAGTTTAAATTAAGATTAGCTACCTAAATACTTGAGGAGGACAGCAGCAAGGTAGCGGTGGCAGAAATTTTTATGACAGGACATTGGTTTAAAGGTTGTTTTTGTTGTATTTCTGTTCATTTTAATCCATAAGGAGCACAAATCCTCTTTGTCATTCATGGCAAGAGACAAGATGCTAAAACAAACATCTCTCTTTAATCTCTTGGGAGTCACTAAGTTTAGATCAGGGAGTAAAAGATGTGGAGTCTCCACTTTGTTTTTCCAAGAAGGAAACTGTAATTGGTCTGTTCTTGAACGGCACTTGGCTGGCTCATCAATCACTTCTCTGAAGACATATATTATAAATAAACTTTAAAATATCGAAGTGACGCATTTGAGCTGAGCTCTGCTGCTGTTCTGATTCTCCAAACTGGATGGGCGCTCTCCCTCACTGTATGCCAATTTCTCCCAGTCTCTCTTGCTGGCCACCCACATTACAATCAAGGTCAGACAACACCACAGCGTCGGAGTTGGCAAAAGCTGATTCAGCCCTTTACCCAGAAAACCCTCAATTCAATTCGCAATCAATACCGAGAACCCACGGCAGGGCACGACCGCCGGGGCTCCGCTCCGCCGCTGCCTCTCTCCGCGCATCTTTGCCACCAACAGCAAAATGCGCTTCCCAGCCCTCCGACCGCCGGAGCGCCGAAGAAAGTCAACTCTATCCTGCTGGGACCGAGCACTCTCGGACCGAGTTCAGCGCTCCGGGGCTGGCCCTGCTCTCCCGTCCCGCACACCCGCCGGTCCCGCAGCACCCAGCAAGGGGGGCCCTCTCCGGGGACAGCAACAGCTCTCCCGGCTTTGGGGCCGCCTGCGCGACCACCGCCCCGTCACGGCCTCCTCCCCGCAGTGCCGGGGGTGCCGGAGGGCTCTGCCCGCGGCCCCGCTTCTCCCCGGCCCCGCCGCCCCCGCGCCCCGCGTCTGCGAGCGGGCTCGGGCGGCCCTACCTGGAGGGACCCCCAGAGCGGGTGGAGGGCACAGTGCAGCAGCAGGGAGGGCCAGCAGTAGCGGAGCAGCCCCAGCAGCTGCCGGAGCAGCATCCCTCCTGGGCGGGCGGGCAGGGGTGCGGGCTCCGGGCGACCTGGGGAGGGAGAAGAGCGAGCCGGCAGCACAGGCGTTGGCTCGCACCCATCCCCGGAGCGCGACTGTCCCAACTTTAATTCTGGAGGGGAGGGAGGGAAGGCGGGAGGGAAGGAGGGGAGGAGGGAGGCAGGGAGATGGGCGGGTGGGGAGGGGAAAGAGTGGTCGGGAAAACCCAGAGCCCTGCAAGTCCTGGCTCCCTCAGCAGGGAGACGCGCCTCCACCCCCGCCCTGCCCGCCTCCCTCCCCGCCCGCCCCGCAGGCTTCCCCTCCCCGGGATGCTCCGGCTGTCGCCGCCGGCAGCCTCTCCGTGCCGGGGGCTTCCGGGCCGGCGCTCACCGCTGAGCTCGGGGCTCTCGCACACACGGGAGGGGAGCGGGCGGCGGGAAAAGTTTGGAGCCAGGCGCGGAAAAAAGGGCCAGGGCCAGGGCCGGAGCCCGAGGGGAGAGGCGGCGAGAGCGGCGCGGCCGCGCAGCCGGGGCATTGCATCTCCCACCAGCCCGCCGCCGCTGCTGCAGTGATTTTTCAAGCCCATCGAGGCAGTCCCTTCTGCGCACGGCTCCCCTCGTCTCTCCCTCCCCGCCCGGGCTCCTCCCGGCGGCAGCTGCCCTCCGCTGAGCCCCGGCGGGCGGTTCGGGACCCGCGGGGAGCGGGACCTGCGGGGAGCGGATCCTATGGGAACGGGGAGCGCCGCACCCGCCCCGCGCCTCCCGCAGCCCAGAGAGGCACCGACCCCAAGGGGAAGGGCAGGATGAACCGGCACCCCTGTCCTGGAGTAGCCCCATCCCGAATTGCGGCCAGGAGGTTTTGGGGTTGGTGGTTGTCGGTGTTCACTCCTTCTCTCATGAGTGATGCAAGAGTTTGTCCTGTGACAGGCGGGACATGGGGCTGGGTCGTCCCGGTGACTCCGGGATGTAATAGGGAAGACGCTTCATGGCATTTGTGGTTCTATGTTCTAACAAAACACGCAGAAATGTGCAACAGTGCATGAATCGAAGTGGATAGACCCCCCCCAATATCAAGGCACCACAGTCCGGCTTCCCCACAGGAAGGAAAGAGTAGAAAATCAAGGATGAAGATGGTTTTGCTTCCAGTGAAGCACTAAAAGCAGAACAGCTGTTTTTCGAAAGGTGGCTATGGCTGAAAGTTGGGCCTTGTGGGTATCAAGATGACCATAAAACATTTGTTGTTGGGTCCATGACACAGGGATCCTGTTTTCAATGCAGTAAGCATATGGGTTTCAACAAAATACTAGTTCCAGTGTTTACATTTCATATCGAGAGATAAATGAGTTTGAGGATATTGACCTCAGTTTTTCTTTGTATTTCTTGTGTTCACTGAGCCAAGTTTAATCATCAGTTTCATAAAAATCTGCTCAGAGAAGCAGGAATGGAAATACATTAACCTCTGAACTGATACACAGCTAAAATTCTTTTTTCATACCACTATTACATTCATTTCATGTCCATTCATTTCAGCCCCGACAGGCACTGTTTTAAATGTCAGGGCTATCAGGCCCAGCAGCGTTTTACAAATGAGAACCGCACACTGGAATTTAATGGTGTTACACCTGAGTTGAGGTAGACTCGTTGAACCTAGGCATCTATTTGTGAATCCCTGTCTTGTGGTTTTGTAAGAGCAGAATTCAGAGCGGCAAAGACATTATGATCTTGGGTAGAGGCAGTAATTGTATGGCAAAGATATTTTCTGTAATGATGCTGAAAAAGATGGCGTCCTTTTCTGTAAGCCTACTGTGTAATACGCAGGGCTTAATATATTGTGCTCATTCAATTATAGTTTTAGTGAGCTGGAGTCACAAGAGACAGCAAAGCTTTTCAGGCTTTCTGGTGATTTCCTGAAGGTATTTCAGCACTTGGTCACAGTACAGAACATAATAAATTGCACCATCTGTATACATAGTTCTTGGTTCCTGACAGAATGAGAGATAAGGCTTTAGGCATTGTATGCCAAAAAAATACAACACAGATTTATTTTCTTTCAGTATTTACAATGCCTTAATGTCTGAAGAACTGTGGATTTTCCTGCCATTAGCGATTGCCCAAGTAGCTGTCTCAAAGTGCTGTTCCTGTGGTTCAAAGACAACCCAGGGAACTGAGGAGTCAGAGCCAAACTCAACCCACAGTCGCACGGAAGCAAGAGCAATCAGGGATATTGTTCTGACACAAACAAGAGCAGAGTTTGGCCCAGGTAATCAGCATCTTTTCTGTTTCACACTGGTAATTGACAGTTCCCTTGGGAAAATGATTGGGCTGCAAATACATTAAATCCAGCCCCTGGACCCAGTCATATGGTCCACACAAGCCTATTTCCCATTAGCCTGAATGGCTGAAGAAAGGGATGAATGTGTGCCCCACACAATGACACCAATCCTCTTTCTGTGGAGAGAAAATAAGAGTCCAGGAATTTTTTCCACTTACAAGGAAGATAAATGACATAATGCTTGCAATACTGCAGGCCCTGAATCAATGGCAGGCTTGGAATATGTTTTGCTTAACAACACATTAAGTATTTTGTAGCAGCAGGACTCGTATGTGGAAGAACACAATGATTTGTCTGTAGCAGTCACACTACTGAAGTGTGGAGAAGGATAATGGCTAGGGCTACCATCCTGGAACCAGAAACAGGATTTCCTGGGGTGTAGTCCCACTACTACCAACTTCCTCTGATACATTTGGCATGTTTTTAAAATTACCTCTACCAGATTCCCTGCCTGTCAAAACAGCACAACGAGATCCAGCTACCTGAAATTCTTACTGTGTTTGGTCAGAAATGCAGTAGCAAGATCCTGTCCTCCAAAAAGTTTAGCTCATCACAGAAACATGGAAGGGTACCAGATCCTTTGCTGGTGTGATCAGCAAAGGTCTGTGTTCTGGTTCAGTGCTCTGGAGATGAAAAGTGATTTGTAAGTGTTACAGCTCAAAATAATAACCGAAACTATCTTTCTTTTATTTTCAGAAAAAGACTGCACAAACAGCATCATTCAAACAGTTTCCTGAAAACTTTTAGTCAAATATTAATACTCAATGGAATGATGACCATTACTCTTTTTCCCTTTCATCTTTGGTTTGATTACCAAGGAAGAATATTTATCTTGTTTGTGTCAGGTTTTTGTTTTTTAAGCAATTGCTGATAATCAGAGAAATCGTGATTAACACTCCAATGCAGCAACTCCTCTGGAAACATTACTAAGGCTTACAACACTGATTAGCTGTACCAACAAATATGATTGTATTCCTTTAATCTAAGTAGCCGTAATAGTTATAATGGACTTTAAGAGGCTATTTATTTAGTAGGTATTGATGGAATTTATAACATGAATTCAAGTGTTCAGAGAGCACAGGAGAAGGTTCTCTTTGATGCTGACTTGTCAAAACTTTATTAAAATCAATAGATATTCTCCACTCTGACTTTAGGCAAGTTTTGTCCCTATGTCTTCAGAGTCATCAGAGGAGTTTTAACTGAAGCCAGTAGCAGAGGAAGCAAAGGCAACCTCTTCTCAGTCTCTATGGTCAGTCAGGCCTAGAAAGAATCCACTTAAGCTTTTTTTTACTAATGACATTTCTGGGTGCAAATCAATGAACTCAAGAAGAATGTCCAATCTGGCGAAATGATAGAAAACATACACAGAAAACATTTCAACACTGACTTTTCGAAGCTTTCCTTAGCCTAGCATGGTTTGTCCTAGATTGATTTTTGGCTTTGCATCTAGAAAAACATCAGCAAGCAGGTAAATGTACAGCATCACTTTTTCTTGCATTGAAAATATTTTTGTTGCTATTTTTAAGATATTTTTATTACTCCATATATCTAAAGCAGTGCTTTCAACATGTGGAAAGAAAATTTACTTGGTTTTGGATTTAAAGTTTCTACATGTTTTTAAAAGATCATAAATCAATAAAGGTCACAGCATCAGAAACAGTGGAGGAAATTTCATTTCTTCAAATACCATAATCTCTACCCAGGGAGACGAGAGAATTCTTCTTGATGATCCCAATTATTTAATAAAACTGAGGACCATACAAGTAACAGATTTGATTTTTGGAAGATTCGATTATTCAGTTGTTCAATATTTCCAACTTGTGGGAAAAGATTCTTAACTTTGAGCATATCTAGAATACATTTGTATAACAAATAATTCTTTGATTTTCATGATATTCAAGTTTTGGAAATCAGTTTTAAGTTTCATAAGTATCTGAATTTCAGTAAGTGCTCTTAAAGTTTTCCCTCAGGTAAATACAGGCTATTGCACTGCATCTGGAAAACAATGGTAGAGTGCCTCCTCTTCCTTGCCATAGGTCAGGAATATTGTCTTCAAAATCAATGTCTCCATGTCAGGTTTGGTGAGGAGTGAATAGGACCAACATGGAAAGTTGCATGTAATCTTTGCTTGTGTTCCCTCACCTGAAATTACAGCACACAGTAGATTTTTATTCATGGCCAAAAAAGCCGTGGCTATACATCATGCAAGCCTGTTCTTGTATTTTCAGTTTTCTGGCTCTGAGATGTTGCTTTCAGTGATAAACAGGCCTCCTGCTTACTGACTTGCAGTAGTTTCTCACATTTTGTTCTCTTCACAAATGGATTTGCTCAGCAGTATCCCTGCTTTTTGTTTATAAATATAAAGGTAAAATGTGTGGGATTAGTTATTAAACTGTCCAGAAAAATCCTAGATGTAAGGAAGAGATTGTATGCCCCAAATATGTAATTTTTTAGCTTTATCAATTTTTCACACAACACATTACTTCTTACATATATTACATTTTTGATCCCTTGTGACTTTCTAATAAAATCTCTACATGCTGAGTGAACTGCAGGTTGCAGCAATCCCTTAAGTGCTATATCACTGTTTCACTCATTATACATTGCTGCTTAGGTCTCGAAGATTAAATACTTGTTATTTGAATGTGTAAAAGATGGTATGAAAGCATTGCCTTCACAT